TTATTATTATTATTATTATTATTATTATTATTATTATTATTATTATTATTATTATTATTATTATTATTATTATATCATTCCATCCACTCATTTGTGTTGATCACTTATTTTGTTTTATGTAGTGATCAGTGAAATCAGCAGTAAAGGTTAGCATTTTTTTTAACAAAATCTGGTACATTATTTATGTTAGTTAACTTTTGCTTCTTTTTGCTCCTGTTAGCAAATTAATTTGTGTTAGCAATTCATAGTATAATAGGCAAAAATGATGAGTTAACTAAATAGGTTATTAAGATACTTGGTTTCTGTTTGGCTGTCATCTCCCAAGAGTATTATTATTATTATTATTATTATTATTATTATTATTATTATTATTATTATTATTATTATTATGGGAAAATGGAAAGTATAAAGTAGAAGTCATAAACCTATACATATGTATATGTACAGCAATTGCTATATATATATTGTGTTATAATGAGCTAGAAGAATGCTGTTGAGGAATTATCATAGTGGAATCAGTGAATTAGGGAAAGGGCATAATAATGAGGGTATCTAACTGTGTATAATATCAATTAAAAAATGAGTTATGGTTTTAATTTCTAACTGTTCATATGCACTTATGACAGCTTGAATGCTTGTTTGTCTAAACAGGGAATTTCTATGTCTCATAGTAGCAAGAAATTGTTTATTCAAATATTAATATAGGAAATGTGTGGCAATGTTAGTCCCTTGAACAATTTTTTAAAAGAAATTGTTCAGTTTTTATATATGTGTAACACTAATTTGTGCAAACCTATTACTATTCAGGGTTTGCAAGTTTAATACAACATCTTTGATACTAAAATATCACTAGACTTCCATAAATAGTGAGAAGACTGACAGCAAGACTGACTAACAGATGACAATAAAATAATCCTTTATGACAGCTATTATTCATCTTCACCTTCTGAAAGCAATTCATGATTGTGACTAACACTTCAAAGACTGAATGTCTTCCATCTGGTTCTGCCAGATTTATACCAGTCATCAGATCAGCTTCCCCAGGCCATCTCAATATTGTAATAGACTGATGTCATGGTAAATTGTTCACAGTGTCTCTCCAATATTCTTTATGCCCACAGCCTTGTAAAATGTGATGTAATAAGAGACAACATGAGCAACAAATATGGTCTGATCAGTAAGTGTATGGGATTGATGCATATTTTTGTATCCACAGGCAAGTATCCCAGCCAGAATTTGGGTCTCCCCAAAGTTAGTTGCTGCCACAACATGTTGTAAATGTTTATCCTGTTGACAGAAAAAACATTTGAGTTATGAATAACATGGCACATCCAAGAATCAAAACCATATGGACCTCTATGACTATTATGGCAATGCCTTCCTTGTCCACTTTGTCCACTAAATTCTGGTATAGCTGACACTTTCATACCACCAACAGTTAGTCAGTAGCCTTCTTTTACTCTAAATTTGAGAATAACACAAACTTGAGTACTATTGTAGTATGCATAAAAAAAAGCTACTTTTTGTAGCTCACCTAACTGCTGTAAACCTGCGTTTTTTAGATATAAGAGCGGGCAATACGTTGCATGGGGATGATTTGATCAGGTGATCGTCGAAG